ACCTTCCAGATCCATGTCACAGGTGAGAGGAGATTCTTTGGCCCATCATTCCTGTTTCTAGGATATTTATAAAAATGAGTATTATTTCATGAGTTTTTTCCTTTTACTCTTCAAATTTTTGGAGAACATCATTGGATTGCCTAGCTATAATGTGGAATCAGTCAAAAAGTTACAACTACAGTTCTTGTTTTATGTATGTACATGTGTCTCTATGTAAAACTTTATAAAAACCTTAACCAGGGAGCAACATTCTTGGGAGCTACCCATGACTGTAGGAAAAGGGCTATGAAAAAGAATGCTCTCATTGCACATCTCCAGTCTCACATGTTGGTGCAACAAGAACAAATCTGATATGAAGCTGATTTTCAATGTATTTCAGAGCAGAGTCATGGTGGAGAGTGGTTGAGTGTCTGCCCAGTATCTTCACTCTTTTTCTTTCTCTTGGAAGGCCTTCTTTCAGCCTGAGGGGAGGATGTGGCAGTAAGACTTGATACATGTTAAGTTCTGTAAGGCGTCAGGTGAATGGCAGTTATGGAAAGAATTTGTCGTGGAGACTCATTACAGATGCATAACCCTATTGGGGTTGTAGAGTGGTAGAATGTATTCAGCTTTCTAATTCCCTCTCTACCGCCTGATCTTCTGTCAAGTGGGATGACTAATGTGGCTTCTGGAGAACAAAAGGAATTTCAACATTTGGATGTAACATGAGCTGAGCTTTTCTCAAGGTCACAGTGAGGAGTAATAACAGTCCTGAACATGTCAGTCCTGGTCTAACACCCTTCTCGCTTAACAAAATGACCTAAGAGACAACAGAGGTGGCTATTGAGAGCCAAAGAAGCCAACGATATGGTGCTGTGAGACAGCATGGGATAGCTCTGGCCTCTGAAAATGCTTTATGTTGCACTCAACTTCAACCAGAATTTTTCCTGCCTTGACTGGACCCTACCATACAACACTGTAATGAAGCATCCAGATGATCTTCTAGCTTGCTGACATTGGTGTATTAATCTTTGTGTGATTTGTGACAAAGCAACAAAAAGCTTTAAATAAACCAGCCAATCAGTCAAACAAAAAACCAGTCAAACTCAACCACAAAATGGTTTGCATGTTCTTTCAGTAACTTTAGATGTCTACTGTCAAATCACAGGCTTGGTTTCTAGTGTTACCTGTAAGCCACGCTAAGGGGATTAGGTGACATTATATCTTGGAGGCACTGATTTTTCTCTCTCTTTTCAGAGCCAGAAGTTGTATTTACAAACAAGGAGAAGGTGCAGAAAGAGGTGAAAGCTGCACTGTCAGAAAATGCCACGCTGAGCTGCGAGGTGGCCCAGGAGAAGACTGATGTGAAATGGTACAAGGAGGGCAAACTGATCACCTCCAGCAAGAAGTTCAAGGTGGAGTCGGAGGGCAAATCACGTCGCCTGGTGGTGGGTCAGCTGGAGAAGAAAGATGCTGGGGAGTACACCTGTGAGGCTGCTGGCCAGAAACTGACCTTCCAGATCCATGTCACAGGTGAGACATACTTGGTCTGAATAACAGAAGAGGATTATAAAGTAATAACTATTACAACATGACTCATTTCGAATGACCAGGGCTTTGTTTCAGCCTATAGGATTCACCTGATTTTCTGTACCTTGTTGCCTGGGTTTCTAAAAATGGGAATATTAGGCTTCAGCATGAGACAAAGGCCTATCTCATTCTCTGTTTATAATAATAGTCACAGATATATATATAATAGAAATAACAATCAACACATTATTCAGATTTCTCCCATTTCTGGAGTCCCAAAGGGTTATTCTTGTGCACTGAACTTCTTGAAAGGAAAGAGTCATTCAAAAATCCTTTTCATGTTAGACTGCTGATCCCATTTCTTAAAACTTAGAGGCTGGAATATGTTTTCTCATTTGCAGTTTTGGCAGCGGCATGCCTCAAGATGGGTTGAAAACTCAGCACTTTTTATGATTTTGGTTTGCTGTCTGTTTAAGACCTCAGCCTTCTGAGATGCCTTACTACTTCTGCCAGGTGCTAAATGTCCCTTTGTCATGAAAGATTCCCAGCAATTGTGCTTTGGAACAGTATTCACAAGGTGCCCAAACTGCTTCAAGTATGTGACACTAAACATCTCTGCAAGATGTTGCAACAGTCTTGGTTACCTTGCCAGCCATGATCCACACCTACCTGAACACTTGCAGGGAGATAATATTTCCTTTGTCCCTTTGACGAACACATTTGTGACAGTGGAGGAGAGCATGAAGAACCTGTTCCAGAAGCACATAGTTCTATATTGATGTCAAAGACCCTTTTGGTTCTTTCTGTTCTTAGGCTCTTCCCTATTTTCACAGAAGGGTGAATATTGCCCAGTGAAGGCAATTGGTTTTGGCAAGTGACAATCTAAATATCTTCCAAGCCTGTGTACAGAAATCAGTAAGATTGATCTCATTTTAATTCCTCAATCAATATTTTCTTCCTTTTCTGCATTCAGAGCCCAAACCTGCATTTATAAACCAGGAACAAGTCCAGAAGGAGGTGAACGCTGTCCTGACAGAAAGTGCCACCCTCAGCTGTGAGGTAGCACAGGATGCAACCGAAGTGAAATGGTTCAAGGATGGAAAACTGCTCATTACCTCCAGAAAATTCAAAATAGAATCTGTGGGCAAAACCCGGCGCCTTGTCATAGGGCAGCTGGAGAAGAAAGATGCTGGAGAATATATCTGTGAGGCTGCAGGCCAGAAGCTGACTTTCAAGTTGGAGCCAACAGGTGAGTATTCACTTTGAGGTGCTAAGCAGCAATTTTTATGGCTTAGAGGAAAACTGGATATTCCCTACCCAGTGGCCATAGTGTAACCACCGTTCTCCTTGGAGCAACACCAGTGAGTCCCATCACACATTAATTTGTCCTTTTTAATCTACTGGTTTCGGCTATGGAAATGCTATGTAGGTTTTTGTTTATCTCCTTCACACACCCCGTTGCCCAACTTGTTACAGTGGTGGGCAGTTGAAAGTGTAAGTAAGAAATCTTGAAGAACAGAAATCGAGCTACGGGAAAGATGAGTAAGCAGAGCTGGTCTGCTGCTTTGTGTGCCCCCAAAGCGTCCAGTTTTGTTGCAAAGTGTTGTACAAGATAGAGAAAAAGCCAAGAAAAAGACAGTAGAGGAGACAGAGAACAGACCATAAATTCAAGTTTAGCACATGACTATTTCTTTTTAGTTTGATCTAAAATCATAGAAATGGGAGAGGAAAGAATTATACAGGTCATTTTACTTCTGAGAAGCAAGCTTTTTCGGGCAGCAGATAAAACGTATATTTGCATTTCCTTTCCTTTGCTTCTTTTCTAAGCAGAAGCTCTTGGTTGCCTGACAGATCATTTTCTTTCTTCCCCCTCAGCAAATTATTACAGTAGCCAAAAATATTCAGCCATATTCCCTGGATTATTACAAATTATGGATGAGCTGGTTTTATGAGTCAGGAAAAGGAAGTAATAGGAAATTGCTGTGTTAATGCTCAAATCCTTTAGTTATTAATTTTCCTATTTTAATGTCTTTCCTAGAACCAGAGGCTAAATTTGAAAATAAAGTTGTCCAGAAAGAGCCTCTCATTGTTCAAGAATATGAAAATATCACACTGACTACTTCAGTAACTCCTGAAACTACTGCAGTAAGGTGGTTCAAGGATGGAACAGAAATCAAGGCGAGCAAGAAATATGAGATCAAGAGTGAGGGGGCATCCAGGACCCTGACAGTGAAGCTGGCTGAGAACACAGACAGTGCCATGTACACATGTCAGACAAAGAGTGACAAGCAGGAATTCAAAGTACAGGTGAAAGGTAAGCCCAGGGCAGCACACAGGTCATGTCCCAACCCAACAGCTGTGCTTCTCTCGTGGTAGAGTAGAGGTGAACTACAAACTCTTTCTAAAACTGTTCCAACCTCAAGGCTTGAATTGCTGTTGCAACTGAGCTTCTGTGGCTGACCCACCATAGGCCGGCAAAGTTCTCCTGCTCCAAATACCCAGTTTTTATCCTTTGCTGGACACTCAGGGGACAAGGAAGCCTGTGATCTGTGTTTCTCCTGGTGTCTGCTCCCCACTCTCATCACACTGCTCTGCCTCCTCCTAACCCCTGTAGCTGGGACATGGCAGAGCCTTAGCTCTTCCCACTGCTCACCAGCATGACAAAGCTGATGAGGATCTAGAGGGATGTTGTGTCTGTGAGTTAGTCACATGGGGAAACTGGACCTCAATTGTATCCTCCCTCCTCTGTGGGATGGTGCACCTGGGATGTTGTTCTCTAGTCAAGGCTAAGGCTATAACTTGTCAAGAAGAATTAAGTACAGCTGGTCCACAGGTGGAGACGAGAGGGGTGATGTCCCAAAACAAAGCCCTGCTCCCTTCTCTTCAGACACTCACAGTGGAGGTGTCAGCAGCTGAGATGCATTCCCTCAGCTCCCTTTGGAGTCACTGCAAAAGAGTAATTGCTAATAGGTCATCATACACTGATCTCTTAAAAAGTCCCTTCAGGAGGAGTGAAATCACACCCTGGATTTCTCTGAGTCCATTGGCTCTGTCTCCAGTGATGGAAGAGACAAAGGTGGCTGGGGCTTATGCATTCGTACAGATTTTTACACTTAGTCAGGCAAATCAGGCTCTGATGTAAAACCACCACATGGTCTCGTCAGGCAAAAGATTAGAAAGAAAGGCAATACCCAATCATGTTTTTAGACACTATTCTTGCTTTACAGAATTATAGTAATATTAAAATACCATGCTAAAGGAATCTCTCTAAATTTCCACGTTTCTGATTTGTTTCTGCCTACCCTGATCCCCAAAAACGTTCTGGGATTGTTTTTTTTTTTAAGTTGGCTGGAACCAGTTTCTTAGAACATGTTTATTACATTTTTCCTTTATCATCATTTTTCCTTCTTCTGGATCTCAGAAATCCCAGTGAAGTTCGTCAAAAAGCTTGAACCTGTTAATGCAGAGATTGGAGGCAGTGTCTCTTTGACCTGCGATGTGAGCCATGCCAAAGGGAAGGTGGTGTGGCGCAGGAACAAAATAGAGATCAAACCCAGCAAACGTTTCCAGATCCATGAGGAGGGGGTCAAGAGAACCCTAACAATAACAGGGATCCGGGCTGAGGATGAGGGAGAATACTCATGCGAGTCCAGAGACGACAAGAGCACCATTACCATCACCCCCAAAGGTATGTCTCCAATGGTGACAAAGGGGAGGGTTCCTTGGGTTTTGTCCTCAGCCATTATGACTCTGCAAAGCTAAGTTTTTTCATGTGTTTGTGCTGTCTGCTGTATTAAAGGCAAAATACAAAACTCAGTGTCAGTGGACTCTCTACTTGTGAAGAACATAATGATTTTGAGACCTGTTGAGCTCAGGTCTCTAAATACGTGGGCAAATTGGCCTTCACGTTGCATTTGAGGCTGGAATTAAGTATCCTAAATTTAAGATGGGATTTTACCCCTTCTTTGCTAGCCTTTCTTTTCTGGCATCTTTAGACACAGAACTTAGACATGGGAAATGTGATGACCCATGATTATGATCGCTTACTGTAAATAAGAAAAAATGATTCTTCCGGTAAGATCATCAAAGCTTTTGGCTCTGTGAAGGTGCTTATGCCATGTCTTCTAAATGTTTTATTCCTATCCATCAGCTCCCAGAGTAGTGAAATTTGTTACCAGTCTCATCAGTGTGGTCTCTGAGGAAGGAAAAGAGGCTGTGTTCAAGTGCACTGTCTCTCCCAGTGATGCCATGGTCACTTGGCTCAGAAACGGTGTCAAGATTGAAGCCAGCAAGAAGTGTGTGATCTCACAGAAGGACGCCAACCACAGCCTCACCATCACTGATCTGACACTGGAAGATGCAGCTGAAATCTCTGCTAATGCTGAGGGTGTAAAAAGCACAGCCAATCTCAGAGTCCGAGGTAAGAGGTGATCATGCCCCTGTCACTGGTGCTACAACCTACGTTGTCAGGT